AATCTGATGCTTGTCTATTCAGAACGAAGTCTCACTGAAACTTATTTCCAGGTAAGTATATCTCAGATGCGTATAGGATTGCAGTCAGGTTCTAAATGAGTGGCTGAGGGTAAACCCCTTCAGTAGTTCAACACTGCTTGCAGCACTAATCTTCATGCCTCTTGCCTAGCCCTAGGAGGTCAAAAGAAAGATGCCAAGAGGACGCCCCATTTGAGTCTATGAATTTCCATACATGTTCTCACCAACAGTGTAGTGCAAATATTAGTTCCCTTTGTATATAATATCTAGAAACAAAATGTTCTTGATATTAAACCATATTATCACCTTACTGAAAATCTGTTTAACTAATTTAAAAATTTAACTTTTCAAAGACTGATTCATAAAAGTAATAAGAAATATGTAAATCAGAATATTATCAAAACTTCAGTGTAGGCACCTCTTTAAACTGTTGAAATAATTATGAAATAATGCATAATAAACAGGTTGCCACTGACTCTTAGAACTACCTTGGATCATTCTTTATTTTCTATTACAGGCACACATTCAAAACATTCTCTAGATATAAAAATGCACCTTTAATTGCTTTAACTGATAAATATGGGTTCCATTAAATAAGTAATTAAAATTGCAGTTAATTGATCTACTGATCAAATTAAGGCTACAATCTCTATATATCAGAAACAGGAAATTAGTTGAAGAGGTGACTGGACCATTGGGATGACAATAGAGTTCAAGGCATACTAAAAAATGATGTGGAGATTAGAGAGACACAGAATGAATTATTTGTGCCAGTTTTCACTGCAGGGGACACAGGCAGATACTTGTCCCTTAACTGTCGTTTTCAGAAGGGAGTCTGAGAAAATAGTCTGTGAACTGAACTCAAATGTGAAATCAATGATGTTGTTGTTGTCCTTGTACCAGAAAATGAGAAAGGGCTAAAGTAACATTTACAAAGAAATTCCAGGTAGATCCAAATAATTAAAGGTTGGCTACAAAAGCCACATTTTAACTAAGATTTTGAGCAATCTCTTCTAAGAAATCATCCCCACTGGAGTGACACACATTGGGTTTTATTAATATTTATTTTTTCATTTCTGTACTCCAGTGTTTAGCCCAAATGGCTTCTCCAGCAGTATAAAGCATCTATGCCTCCACAAACTAGAAAATCTGCAACACAACCTCTCTGATGATCTATGGCTATCTTCTAAAAGTTTGTCCCTTAAAAATCGGATATTCATAGAATCCCTTCATGTTTAGTCCATATTATCAATAGTATGTTACAAGGCGCCACGTGTTTACTGAGGTTTTAAGCATATTCATCTAAAGATTCTAGGTGGATATAAAGTGCATTAAAGAGACTCCCAAGAACAGCCTTTTTGGGAGTGGCACCCCAACTTTGGAATGAGAGAGGTCACCTGGCACTCTTTTTGTATTCTTTATTCTCTTTGTATTCAGACAAAGACCTTTTTTATTTTGCCAGTATTTTAATTGATTGGTTTTAATAGTTGCATATTTTAATAAAGACTGTTGTTACAACTTTTATGTAATCGTGGGTTTTGTTAAGAGATGACATTGGTGTGGTTTTGTTTTATGATTAAGTGTCTAATATAGTGATTTTAGTGACTATGGTTTTTTATATGATTTTATTAATTGTATACATTTGCAACCCACTCAGGTAGCATTGTAGCTAATGCAATGGGCTAAAAAAATCTTTTTTCTTTTTGCAAAATTAAACTTGACTACCTACTTTTAGGTAGGTAGTTTTCTTCAACCAACTGGTGTGGGTTTTTTTTCCATTTCTGCCAGGCAGCTGTCTAGTAGCTCATTCTTACCCACTCCAATAACTGCAGAAGCAATGTCACCATCTGCAATTATAACAGGGGTCATGCTGCACAAAAATCCACACACTGATTGCAAATTTTCTAGAAAGTAACATTTTTCACTGAAGCAAAGTTTCAGGTTGTTCATTTGAAATCTAGTATTGAAAGAACACTTTCTGCTTTGCATTTCATAATGCTCCCAAATGTTTGTATGAAAAATTACTCAGAAAAAGTCAGGCTGGGTAATTAATTAGAAGCAAAGCAAAAAATACAAATAGAACCTCTAGCCCAGAAATAGTGCTGCCCAAGGGGTGAACCAATTGTGTATTCTTTGATGTGGGAAATCTACTAGATAATTTGATTTTTAACATTTATTTTGTAATTAACTGGTTGTATAGAATCATGAGTTACTACTTGGCATTTTTGCTAAATTTAAGCATCATCATTAATGCATTTATATATTGCTACCTAACTTAAATGAGCATTAAGTTTGAAAACTACAGATATAAAATACAGCTCACATAACAGAAACATGGAAGAAATAGCAACTTGAAATGTTGCAACAAGCATCATCTTCTGTGCATTCTTAATCCCTGACTATTGGAGGACTAAATGCAAAATGATAACTTTTATAAGATGCAGAATGAAATACACAAATTGTTGTTTGTATAGGTTTCTTCAGTAAATTTAATATAAGGTACCTAGGTGTTTTTGACACTTTCTTCACCCAAATACAAAAGGCAACAGTTGGGTATTTCACATATAAAGAACTTTCCTGCACAACCATAGCAGCTGTTGAAGGAGGCACATTGCATCATTCAAGGTTGTTATTGTTGTTACAAGCCATCAAGTCATCACTGATTAATGGTGACTGTATGAATCAATGCTGTCCAAAATGTCCTGTCCTTCACAGCCTGCTCAGCTCATGTAAATGAGACTGTGGCTTTCTTTATGGAACCAAACCATCTCCTAAATGATCTTCTTCCTTGCCTGCCTTTGACTTTTCCTGGCATTATTGCTGGTTCCAGGGAGTCTTGCCTTCTGATATGTGCCCAAAGTATGAAAACTTCAAATTTATCATTGTTGTTCCCAGGGAAGGATCTGAATTATTTGATCTATGGTTCACTTGTTCATCTTTCTCTTGGTTCATTCAAGTTAGGTAGACAAAAATGGTAGGCAAAGAAAATGAAAACTTAATATACATCAGACCAAGGATAATGCTTCCAAACAAATCCTAAAGTCAGTTGAACCTGAAGAAACTTCTCTGAATAGCCACTCCAGCAATAATGATACAAGCAGAAAGGATGTGTAATCAACTGAGATATCTCCTCTCACAGGAGGGATGTTTCTACTCCTTTTTACCTTCAGAAGGTTCTGAGATACACATACACACAGACACACACACACACAATGCAGAAGCTAACGTGTGTCTGCATCAAGATCATGCAGAAACAGTGGTCATGCTAATCTCAATACATTTTGGTGATTACTTGTATTTCAGCTTCCAGTCTCTTAAGTGGGTCATGACTATTTGGATAGTAGCTCTGGACCAGGGGAAGGAAACCATTTTGACCCTGAAGGTTACACATTTGCCCATGGACAGGCTCATGGGACTGCACTTCTGTGGTGGGCAACACACATACACATTGCATCAGTTGAGCCTCACCTTTCATGCTGTATCTCTTCCACATCACTGTACTACACACATCATGTTCACTGTCCAACTGAGAAAACACTGCTCAGTTGTTTTCTAACATTATGGGCAAGGTGGGAAATTGTGGAGTGGGAACAAGATTGAACCTAGAGCGTCTGTCAGGTAGACGAGAAGCTCCTACCGGCTGTATCCACTCTCGGACAAAGGACTCTCCGTTACTTCTTATGCATTCCTTCTTGCAGTTCTATTGCAGATATGAAAGTTAAAGCACCAGTTAATGAACAAGCTACCAGACTAGTACAGGAATTAATGTGTTAGTCTCCCCCCAAGAATAAAACCTAAGAATAAAACTTCTTGAGGGCATACATAGTCCTATCTAGATTGTTATGACAGAATCTATGAATATTGATGCTGGTTCATCATCAGTAATACAAGATTCTTTCTTAGAAGTGGCCATGCTAAAACACAAAGTAAAATAGAACTGAGGCATCTCATCATTTATTCTCAAACACTTATGAAAGTGCCTAAATATTTTAGACTACTTTTAGATTAAAGTAGATAGATTACTTTTATTTGGAAGTAAGAAATAATACAAATAAAAAAATCAATTGAAATCTTAAATGTTATTGTCCTGTTATGTATATGGTGGACTTGAGATTGTAAAAAGGTGAAATAATTTATACATTCTTGAGTTTGCTCTACTTACTTAGCTTCTGGGGAAATAATACACTGCATTTGCCCAAAGGGAAACAATATTTGAAACATTTCAAAGATAACTGCCTGGTTCTGATAAATGAATTGTAATTCACACTTCATGCTAAAAATTGGTATAGATGCAATAATTTGGAGGGTTTCATATATCTGCTTACAATCCTTCACAATCCAAAAAACAGCCTACATGGCTGATGATACAGTTGAGGACTTTATTAAAATCCAAATACCAATTTTAACTAGGAAAATCAACCATAGAAAAGAGCAATTTAGAGTAAAGAAATGGCTTGTCAGAATTTTTTTCTGTTGCAGCTGCAGCTTCCAAGTCAGTTCTCACCTTCAACTCAAGTTCCACATGCATGTTTGCAAGGGTAGACATGGATCTTAATTACTAAAGGGGAAAAAGTACTTGAGGAAGCTGAGGACCATTGAAATAATGTCTCCCGAATTCTCTTTTCCCAGAAGAAAAAGTGTTCAGGATAAATACATGAACTTACATTTAATATGTAGCGTGGCCCAAACTACGTATTACATGGTTTCCTAAGAAAAAGATTATAAATGTACTTTTTTGAGCAAAGTGGAAACACATGCCTTAGCATTCCGCAAGACCATTTTAATAAAACTCTGTTTGTATAAAGATACATATTTGCACAATAAGCATATGATCAGAATTTTAAAACGTGAACTCAGATGGTTCTGTAGCTGGATACCTATGTTCATTTTGTCAAACTCTGCGAGCCCAAAAACATTTACAAATGCTTTTTCCAGTATGCAACACTCTTCTTCTTAAAGAAGGAAATCACCTTTCCAAGCAATAAGCTTTAAAAAAAAAAACTTTATTGGTTGCTATTACTGGGGTGGAGGGGGGTGAAGGGATGAACAGTCTGGGATATTCCTGTTCTGAGAACCAGCTGTCATTTAATCATACATTTCAAACAGGATTTAGGAAGCTTTGCAGGCAGCTCCACTGCCAAGCCCTTTCCTCTCCACTTCCTTTTTCTGGAGAGAATGGATTCAAGATGTGCAGTGTCTGTTTTCCAGCCGTAGTTTTAATCTCCAAATGTCACTGGCTTTTGATCAGAAGGACTGATTATTAGTTCGAATTGATCAGCAAAACCTTTGAACTAAACTGGGACACCCACGATCATGTTGTTCTTTGGAGAACATGTTTCAGGTTCCATGGTTATCACTTGGACAGAATAGTTCCATCTTTCCACGTTCCACGCCCGATCCAAATCCACCAGCCCCATACAATGCTTACCTAAAGCATAAGAACAAGCACACAATTTGTAAAGTATTCTTTAATTATTCTAATGCTATAAAGCCAAATAGTCATTTTCACATAGCAATCATAACAATAATGGCACCAATAAATAATTTTGTCTTTCAAGTCCTATTTGCTTGTAGTTTTATTAATACAACATTTAATAATTTCCCAATCTGCTTATTTCTAATACCATGGAAAGTATTCTTTATAACATTAAGAACAGAAGGACTTGGACCAAAAGACACAGATTAAGAGTTAATGCACATTTGTTCAGTGGACAAATGCCGCCTATGTAGGGACTCACTGGTAGATTGCAGGCAGTCATCTAACGTTTCATCCCTGGAACATCAGGGATGAAATCTGGTTAGAATAAAAAAAACTCTGGATAGGACAAAGTTGCTGCCAGTCATAGTAGATAATACTAACGAGAGCTCTTGTGTTTATTTATGATAATGTTTTCCTAACATTAACCCTGCTGCTGTTTCCTTTACAATATTAACTGTATGTTGTTATTTTTATCAAATATATATTTTTCAGCCATTGTTTAAGCCATCGATTTCTCTAAGCTGCTTTGTGTGTGATGAACAGAAAAACATAGTTTCCAACAAGTAAATAATTGCCACATTATGTCAGCTCAGGCACAAAGTTCTTCAATTTAAGGGGTGTCATGCAGCAGATCTTAATGTGTAAGAGAGGTCACACCAGAAAGGTGCTCCTTTTGCTATGCTGGGTTAAGATTTGTTACATAATCAACAGTAACCTAAATCAAGCCAAGAAGTTGTTTTCTTTTATTGTATTTTTCAAAATTAAACTTGGTTTTATGTCATTTTTATCCCTATTTTGAAAGGTAAAGTTGTTTATAAACTTTAACGTGAATTAAATCAATAGGGAGCTAACGCAAATCAGGATGCATATCAAGTATCCTCTCTCTTGCAGGAAAACTTCTTAATTAAGGGCATTCTTATAACTTTCAAAAGGCCAGTGTTCCTATTTTCAGAGACTGAGAATGCCAGCTTGATAGCTGGCTTCCTGAATCCCCCCATTTGGGCAGCTACTAGCCCCCCTTTCAAGTATGCATGGTGTACCCTGGAACGGCTGCTAGGAGCTACCCAGGATTTATTTTTTGTGCTAATGTGCATACAAAAACTTACATAATTTAAACATTCAAGAGCATTAATAGCCACCTTTCAAGCCTTGGCAGATGAGGTGTGCAGCGGGGCTCCCACTGCCCAGGGGCAGCAGGCACTCTCTTTGCATGGTGCACCGCGAAGGCGCAAAAACCCACCTCAGTTTCACTAATAAAATTTAATTGAAAACCCTGCCTCCAATCCCTGATTTGTTCATTAGTAACAAGGCTGTTACATGTGGCAACCATGTATCCATATACACAGGCACTACTATGTTGTTTTCTAATGTTTTATATGCCGCCTTGAGACACTTGGGTAGTAGGTGACATACTTGGAAATACAAATAAGAGAATGACAGGAATCAGTTTTGTTGAACTGATTTGCTTTAAAATATTTTTGTTGGAAATGTAATAAAAATAGAAAAGGATGATGGTAGTGAATGTTCCCATAGCCAAATCTTATTCAGATTTACCCAGAAGTAGCGCACTATGATCTCTGCCTTACTCCCAGGTAGGGTGGGTATTGCAGCCTTTTATGGCATATCAGTATCTAATTTTACCTTGAAGAGAACATGTGGTTAGTACTAAGCTGATCTGACCTTCAGCCTAGTCATCAGAAAACAAAACTTAATCCACAAACCACATACCCATTAGCAAGTCTAAAAGGTGAAGAAAGATGACTAAAATGCAAAAAGATTATTTTAATGGAGTGGATAAGCCTCATGTCAAGTATATACTCAGGAGAAGCAAGAACAACCACAAAAAATGCCAGTCAGCGATAGGGGGATTTGTGTGGTTTGCAAATTTTTATTCTATCTACTTGAAGGGGAAAGGCGCTGCAGCATCCAATTTATCTGAAATGCTGAATCAACACTTAGATGTTCATTTATCTCCAGCCACCCCACCCTTCATTAAGTGATACATTTCCTTTTCATATTACCAAAGTACTGAAAAATATCCCCACTCCCACTTAGTGGAGGGACACCTCTTGAACCTGCAGCTGTGACCCTGACAGCACATCTTCCTTTCCAGATACGGGGTTATCTTTAAAGTTCTGCCAGATTTATAGACATTAAAAAGGTAAAATTATCTTAAGTTCCCAGTATTTCCTATTGCACTCTTAACCACAGTAACTATCTCCTATTTATCTCAAATCTTATATTGTTTGAACACTTCTCCTTTTCATTGAAGGGGTTTCACAAAAAGGCTTAAAATAACTCATACAAATCCATTAAAACCATAGTAAACCAATAGAGGAGTTAAATACAGTCAGTCTTCTTGAAGGACATGCATTTAAAGCCTTAAGTACCCATGCAATTTAAGTAACATTTTTCACGTGTTTTCATTTTTCTGAAAAGAAAACAGACCTTGCACAAGGTGAAGCTCCCTAGGAAGTTATACACCTAGAATTAGCTTGGGCAGTGAGAGTTACTTTGTATATCACAAGAAACAGACATGACAATGTATTCAGGATTCCATTTTCAATATGTTCTACAGACAATATGTAGCTTAAGCATCAGTTCTCCATTAAAAAGGGGGCAAGCGGGCAAGTTCCCTTTTCACACTATATAAGGGTGACAAAACATGGGACTAGAAGTGCACCTGCTTGTTGCTAATTGTTTAACATATAAACATAGTCCTGAATACTGGCAGGATATAAACAATATGTTTACGTATCAGCTACACAATGCTTTTAGCATCATTATGGGAAAGACTGTCCAGAAGCATGGAACAAGTTATCACCGGCATGCTGATAAGCACAGTTTTATATCACCGTGCCATCGTGCTGCAGAGGTTCTGATCTGGTGTCTGGTGTTAATGGTGTGTTGAACGAGAACAAACAAACTGAAATTAAATCCAGACAAGGCAGAGGTGTTACTGGTAATGACGCCTACCAGTCCAGGGAAAGAACGTCTGACTGTGTTCTCCTTGAATGACATGGTCTGTAGGGTGTTTCAGAGTACTCCTGGACTAAAGTTTATGATAGGATGTCCACATGGCAGCTAGAGCCAGGAACACTTGTGTTCAGTTTTGAATGGTGTGCCATCTGTGCCCCTTCGTGGCATGATAACACTGGTCATGGGCATACACACATCAGTTATATCTCAATTGCACTACTATAAACACACTTTCTGTGGAGCTGCCCTTGAAAACCACCCAGGAACTGCAACTGGTATAGAATGCTGCTGCCAAAAGCATGATCCATGTCAAATGTTGTGGTCTTGTGACTCAATGTATCAGGTGTTATTCTATCCAGTTAATTTCTGAGTGCAATTCAAGGTGCTGGTTATTACTTGCAAAGCACTAAACATATTGGAATCAAGCTACTTGAAGGACTGGCTCCCCACATCTGAATCTGCCTGTCCTTCAAGACCTCCAGCGTAGCAAATGACAGAGCTTTCTCCCTGGCAGAGCCTCATATATGAAGCTCCCTAATGTAGTGCCAGCATTTGAATAACTCTTGTAAAAAAGCAAGGCTTTGCATCTTCGCCAGTTATTCTTCGCCAGTTCTAGCTCTCATGATTCTTTTAAATATTATAGTGTTGAGACGTACTTTTACTGAATTACTGGATTTACTTGTTAGGTTACACTGTCCTTTGCTTTTGCTTTTTTATACTTCACAAGCTGGCTGAAAGTGTCTCCATTGGAAGGGAAATGGGATAGTATTTTTGCTGAAAATAAGTAGAAAAATAACTCTGACTCAGAATTTATAGATAAGGCAGATTATTCAGACATATACTTGCTTGGCATAAAAAGGAGGTTTGGGGCAGGCTTAGTGAAGAGGCACTGAAACACTTGTTGGGAAACAAAAAGGTGCCAAGTTAGCAGGCAGTGTGGATGCTAATAATTCTCAGATCACCAGCAGGTAGTAAGGTAAGGGGTACAGTACATTTCAAGTATTTTTACCTCTTTTTCACTGGGGGGAAGGGAGTGATTGATCCTGAAAATAGGGCAGCACTTCTGACAGCACAGGAAAAGTTCACAAAGCCCATATCACAAAAACTTTTTAGTTCTATGTTTACTTTATTTCAATTTTGATGATTATTTCTCTCTTGCCCTTTAACCAAATCTAGACTTCCAAGATGGAAGTTGCTACACTAGGGATGTGCCTAAGGCCTTCTAATTATTTCATGGCTGATGGGAGATTTGAACAGAGAATCCTCCATCTCACAGATCATGCTTTTAGCTTAAAAGGCATCAGAAAGGATATTAGCAAGTTTCTCAGATTCCCCCATCTCCTTTGCTGGGATGTAAATGACAGGTGAAGAAAGAACAGTATAATACATTCAACCTCAAATTTAAACCGAGCATCAACAAAGAAAGCTATTTCACTATATCTCTGAATTTGTCTACTCTGTATTCTAAGAAAGAGCAGGTTGCTTACCTGTAACTGATGTTCTTCGAGTGGCCATCTGTGCAGTCACACATATGGGTTCTGTGCCTGCACGGTGCCTTTGGCCGGAAGATTGCAAGGTTTGGCAGGAAACTCCACTCCCCCTCCCCTCTAGCAGTATATAAGGAGAGGAGTGTCCGCCATTTTCCAGTCTTTGACCAGACATTTTCCAGACCGGACGTTCACTCTCGAACACAAAGTTTTAAGAACTAAACTAAAGCCAAAGAAAGAAAAACTCTCAGTGGTACGACAAATGGAGAAAATAGTCCAGTATCGAAGAGAAAAAAGGTCGGACCACCCATGACACCAAGCGGGGCTGGTGGGTGGGTTGTGTGACTGCACAGATGGCCACTCGAAGAACATCAGTTACAGGTAAGCAACCTGCTCTTCTTCTTCCTGGCCTCTGTGCATCACACATATGGGTAGAATAACAAGCTTACCTGAACTGAAGGAGGGAGGTGTCATCAACGAAGA